TTGTTGTGCCTCTGCAGGAGCAGAGTAGGATCCCTAAATCTCTGGCTCCAGCGAGAGGCCATTGGTGGCTGCGTTTCTACCCTGAACAGAGCTCCCGTTAAAAAGAATCGCTCTGCTCTCTTAAGGCACCTGGTGCAAAATGGCCAACCTATGAGAGGGAAGGAGAAGAGCAGAGAACAGGTCTGGGAGTGTTAAAGGCCTGGTGGGCTGGGGCTTGGAGAAACGTGGTCGACTGGAAGGTGTGCCTGCCCATGGCAGGGGGGGTTGGAACCAGATGAATTTGAAGGTCCCTTCCAGCCCAAGGCATTCTGTGATTCGATGAGCAGAGGGGCCGGGTGGCAGGAGGCCTAATTTGGGATGAGAAGCCATTCAGCACTCTCAGTTTGGTCGAGCTCAATGCAACTGTTCACAAGCACAGACTCACAACTGGTGTGATTTACCAAGACTCTAGGCGTGGTTGAGTTCCATACAAACTCGCACAATGCAGATTCTAGAATAGCACTCTTTATTGAAGCCAAGGGGAAAGCAGTTTCTGGATTGCCAGTCCTAAATGCAGTGACTACAGGGCATTACTATGTGTCGGGACAGATCTATTGGTGCTATATTTGTAAAAAATTAATATTTTATCAAATGAATTAACTATAGTCTTTATTATATATATTTATCAAAAAATTTTAAAACTTCTATATTTATATATAAAAACATTAAGATCAGCTCCAACAGAGTCTGGGGAAGACAGTCTTGGTAAAGGCTGACCTGAAGGTGTCCCTTAAGGGGACAGGGGGAAACACTTGTAAAGATTTATTAATGCTATACTAATATATTAAAATATTATAATATTAGGTTTAATATAAATATATGCTATAATAAATATCAAGAGATATATGAAATATTAATTAAAAATATAGGTAATAAATAAAATATTCTAAAGTAGATATTAAAAAAATTTCAGGTCAGGTCCCACACAGTGTGTGCAATGCTGACCTACTGATGTCCCTTCAGGGAACAAGGAGAGACACAGTTTAGGAATATTAGCGATGGCTCTCACTTGATCCCTGAGCAGCCGGAGCTGCCAGAAAGAATTCCTGGGCCCATCTGAAATGGTCACAATGACTGTGAGAGTGGGAGGGGCAAGGAGGATGGAAGTCATCTTTGTAGCCCCCCTGGCCATCACTGGATGCTGTGCTGGGCGGACTGCTGAGAGGGGAATGCGGATGGCAGAGTGTTGCTGCACAGGGTTTTCTCTTCCCTCTCTCTGTCCCACATGCTCCTCTCTTTTTGCCTGCAGTAGGAGGTGCTTGTCTTTGATCAGCTGTGAGCCCCACAAGCACAGCTGTGTGCAGGAAGACTTCTTTCAATGGCCATCGTTCAGCATTCTTGAGAGCCGAAGTCCCAGTTCATCGCACTCGCACATTGCCTGCGTGTGGGCGTCCGGATCCTGCGCCAGGCGATGGAAGAGGTTGGGTGGCTCGGCGGTTTTGACATCTGGGGGCAAGAGAATCTCTCGAGGAAATGTCTGGTTGCCCACAACAAAGTGGTCAAGGCGTTTCTCCTCCAGGGAGCCGCGCAGGTACTGTATGGTATCGTCCAGCCGCTGCAGGAAATGCGTCATGCGCCAGCCTGACAGAGGTATGGTGTTCAGGAGGTGCATCACAATGGTCTTCATCGTATAGGTGGAGAAGTCTATGCCCACCAGAGCACGGGCCACAAGCTGCAAGCATTTGAGGTGCCAGCTGTTAGGTGGAGCCTCCCTGGCAATGTACCTGAAGAACTTCATCTCTGCCACAGCGTAGGTCTCAGGCCACATTGTGCTTGGGGTGAAGAGGGCCTCTGTAGGCTGGCTGCTCACATAGATGTCTGAATTACCTTCTTGCACCCCAAAGAGCAGCTCAACTGTCAGGCTCTGTCTGCCTCTGGTCACCTTGAATTTGCAGCAGCGGCTGGAGGGCAGCAGCACTAATTGCCAACTGTGTGACAGAGGCAAAGCCGGCCAAGTCGCTCTCACCAACTGGTAGAACCAGCGGGCAGTTTTATCCACATCGAGGTAGGAGCCAGTGCAGAGGGTGTTTCGGAAGTTGGGCTCCTCATTTCTCCTCTGCTCTTCCTCTGGGTGGTGGAGGGAGCACAGCACGTTCTCGTCCTGCTGCTCCCTCGGGCAGGTGCACACCGGCTCCACGCGGACGCAGAAGTTCCTCCCTGGCAACTGCCCTGAGGTGTCCATCTCCAGATGGAAGGTGTACCCCAGGGGAGGTTTGAGAGGTACAAGGACACAGTACACAACATCCTCTTCCCGGGGACTCCAGCCTTCAAAGGCACTGCCCACCCCGATGGCTCGTTGTGGCACTGGGTATGAACTGTCTGACAAGATTGCTCCAATGATAATCACAAAGTTGTCCATCAGGAAAGTTGTCATCTCGCTGCCTTCCTTCAGGTCCTGAACAGGCCACTGTATATGCTCCTCTAAAAGCCATCTCAGGTTGTTGTCAATAACATCCTCTTCTTCTTCTACTTCATTTGCAAGATCGTCGTCTTCTCCTTCATT